TCCTGTGTTATGAATAAGAAATGAAATCTAATTTGGCATTTATATGAAATGGAGGCGAGATGTCATTTTATGGGAAAGTTCCTGAAGAAATAAAGAAATGGTTGCCTTCCGTAAGAAGGAAAAATGAAAATAATTTAATATTAAAGATTGGAAATAAATGAACAAGACAAAAACATTTTAAAGGAAGTATAACTGGTTTTCTCTTTCATATTTTTTAAAAATTTTTTCTTCTTTACATGATTATAGATTTTACTGTCTTCGCTAATTTTTCGTATCTGAATCGGAGTTGGCCAAATGAAATAATATAACGTGTTGTAAAGAATATTTTTCAAGTTATTATTTCACAATTATTTCCGTTCATATCCCATTTCTTTTATTAATCAGACATTTCATTCTATCTAGCAACTTGCAAACTAATCAATATTCGACGGTCTCTCTTGAAGTGCAAATGATAACGGAAAAATGATATTAGCTGTTTCTCTGTAAGGAGAATGGTTGTAATGGTAATGTTAACATAAGCAATTTCTTTACAAGGAAACATTTACTAATAGTAATCGTAATAGTAATAGTAATAGAAATATAAGTCGTTTCTTCATAAAGAAATAGTTGGTAACGTTAATGGTGATATAAGTTGTTTCTTTATGAGGTACAATTTGGTAATAATAATGATGATATAAGCCTGCTTCTTTATCAGGAAACTATGGTAATAGTAATGCTAACATCAGCTGTTTGTTTATAAGGAAATATTTGGTAATAGTAATTTGCAATATAAGCCTGTTTCTATAAAAGGAAACAGTTGGTAATGATTATGGTAATTTAAGACGTTTCTTTATAAGGAAACATTTAGTAATGGTAATGCTAACATAATCCGTTTCTTTACAAGGAAACATTTGGTAATAGCAATGACAATATAAGCCTGTTTATATAACAGAAAACAGATGGTAATGATTATGGCAATATAAGACGTTTCTTTATAACGAAATATTTGGTAACGGTAATGCTAATATAACCCGCTTCTTTATAAAGAAACATTTGGTAATGTTAATGGTAATGTTAATGGTAATGTTAATGGTAATGTATGTCATTTCTTAATAAGGACAAATCTGGTAATGGTACCATAATCCGTTTCTTTTTATATCGAAAAATCCTGCATTAATTGAATGTGTTGGCATTACTAATTTCGGTTGAAATTTACAAAATCCTTCTCTTAAAAAGTATTTTGATTATATATGTTTGTAAGTAACAGTAATTGATTTAATTTATTTACAGGTGAACAATTGTCTGCGTCTTTGTTGTTGTTACCACGCCATGTCCGCAACTCTGCTCTCTAGCCTTCATCAGGTTCTTGCATCTGATGAAAACAAGAAGGCACAATGGCTGAAACGTCGTGACAACAATTAAAAGTGTCTGTAAATAATGTAAATAACGATAACTCTTCACCCAAGAAAATTTAAATATAAAACGTCTGAATACTGTTTGTTTTAGTCCCCGGCGTGTGTTTAACTCATTTTAAAAGGAAAATAACTTAATCTCGAAACGTATTCGATTATATCTGTTAATAGGCTTTTATAATAAATTACAAAGGGGAAATAGTCAACCAGTCTTTATTTTTTTATTTTTTTCAGAGTTTATATATTTCCAGATGTATGTATATATGTAAATATTCTGAAATATGTAAGTGGAGTAATGAATATGTGAGTAAGTGGAGTGATGGATAGCGGCTCGGAATGAGGAATCGGAGAGCCGAGTTCGAATTCCAGTCGAATCCATTACATTGTAATACCCTTGGGAAAGGCATGAATCCTCTTCTTCCTCCTCAGATATGGGCAAATTTCAGGACAGGCCGGGTTCTATGGTCTTGGATGGCAACCTACTGCATGTATCGTCTGTCATGTCGTGAATACATGATCGCCTAAGCGTGTATCACGCATGGCACAGAACTAAGTGATTTGTGAGGAAACACTTTGAAAACACTTCCTCCAAAACTCAAGTCCATTGATATTGACAACTGTTTTTGTGACAAATTTAATTTTCAAATCCTGTGAGCGAAAGGTTGTAGTTTATTCTAATCCTTAATTTTAATTCTCCTACCTTCTCCTCAATGTAGAGAGAGAGAGAGAGAAAGAGAGAGAGTTAATCCAATATATTCAGCAGATTTATTCCCTACCGATTTAATTTGGATTTTATCATTACAATACTTAATAAGTTAAAATAGACTAACTTTAAATTCTACTAAACATGGAATCGAAAATTTTCATACCTGTTAGACTTCCGTTATTTAAAATGAAAACGTGTACATTTTATTATAAATAATATTTAAATAAAATGTTCTTACATGTCTTTTTATGGCGTTTTTGATAAAACCTTATTTCTTACCATACACCAAGAGAAAGAGAATTTGAACAAAGAATAGTCGACCAGAAGTAATTTTATCTAACGCCATAAAACAGCTAAAAAAAGAAGCAAACAATCATTAATCTGAAAACTCAAACTTAAATGATTACTCAGATCAAGACTTTGATATGCATGGCATGTATTCTGCTGAACACATTTAGAAATAACTAAACTATCAGTTGTATACATCCGCTAAGATCAGATGTCACGGTAAATACCATCCTTCTTCGAACATCCTGGAATAAAGCTACAGAATCACAAATAACAGAATCCTCGTCAATTGACGCCTACCAACATCAGGTGAAATTAAAGGGAATAGCACATACAATTGGAAGATAAAATAATAATATAATGAAGATGTTGATAGTCCACACTACTTCAAATGATATCTATGGTAGGTACGGAAAGTGACACCTCAACACCACTGAACGAACACCATGCCATAAAAACTTTTTTTTTATATATATATAACCGATTAAATGTAATTTGTTAAGGATTGAAACCTTAATTAGGGAATAGTTTTAATTATTTTTAATAAAGTAAATCGTAAAGAAATTTATTCTTAATAAAGTAAAAAATATTTACTAATTAAAGTTTTAATCCATAATAAAATACATTTATTCGATTATCAAAAAAAGTTAGGTTTTTTCCGGTGATGAGTTGTCTCGGTCACGAGTTGTCCCAGTCCTGAGTTGTCCTGACGCTCAATCGGCGATGTTCAATCAGCGGTGTTGCGTTAGCAGTGTTGCGTTGTCCTGTACCCTGGTCAACCCCCCACCTTCAATACTGGAAAGAGGGATAACAGCTACTGGACTGGAGAAACCTATTATCCTGAAAATATATTTTAAGAGAAAGATCTTACAAATTCCAACCGAAAGCAGTCAATAAATGTTAAAAGTTTCCTTACAGGGAAACGATTAATTAAATCGTTAACACTTAAATAATTTAATATCTGGATCTGTGGACTGCTTGCATTTCAGAGTGTATACGATCGTTAGCACAATTCGATTCTTGAAATTATGTGCTTTTCAAATTATACAGGCTATCAGAGATAAAAAGCAAACCAATTTTAAAGGATATTTTTCATCAATATATTATTTGCTTCTCAGTAAAAAACTCGTAAAATATTGTTTTGGTAATGCCTTTGATATTTTGCTAGATAAACTTCATGTACCGCAACTTGAAATATCTCCATAAATAAAAAATATTTTATGTTAACCGCTTTAGTTTTAACTGATGTTAATGTCAGTAAGATAGATTTAAAAGCGTGAGCATTTGCGCTTGGATTAGAAAAAAAAAAATTCCATCAGAGAGAGTAAAATTTTGAAGACACATATTGTCATTGTAGGCTATTAAAATACCCTGTTGCTATAAATGGCATTAGGAATAAACTTGCGAGATATAATCATGTTTTGTTTTACAGTTGTGAAGAGAAAATTTAAAGCTCTCATAAATTGTAACTAAAAAGCGTTTTCTCTTTTAAATCTGTGGAAGTGTAATGAAAATTTGATTAGCATTTATTGAAGCCATATTTCAAAAAAGAAAAAAAAAGATATTAAAAAAAATCGAGAAACAGAACCTGAAAATAAATAATCTGTATAATATCGAAGAGAAAAAGCAGAAATGGAGATATGGCTTATGTACATGGAACAACTCAAGATGCAAATTACAAATTGGGGATACCCACAACAAACAATTACCATAATTCAAATATATGGGGAGTGTTTTAACAGAGGACGGAAAGTGAGACATAAAATTCCGATTGCCGATGAAGAAGAGACTTGAAGTAACAGAAAGGTGGTTCTACAGAAGGATGCTGAGAATACGATGGTCCGAACACGTGTGCAACGACGAAGATTTAGAGAAAATGGAAACAAAATGGCCACTTATACTTAGCATCAGGAAGAGACAGTTGAAATTTATAGGTCACATATTGAGGTCTTGGAAAATTTTACACTTACAGGACGGACTGAAGGACAGAGGCAATCCACGCTACTTAGCGAGCATGAGTAAATGGATGACGGTATAAGGTTTAGGAAAGATGTAAAATTTATTAAGAGCTAAATGTAGAAAGTCTTGATCGCCAACGATTGCAAGGACACAGCATAGAGTAGAAGTTATTTATATGTCCTGATTGTTAAAGTAAAGTTGATTTCGTTTCTCCAGAAACTGAGTTTGTTTATTTTGATAATACCACTCAGGAGAACATCGAAACTGAACAAAAAAAAAAAAATAAGAGCGATAACACTAACGAAGGGGATGTCGACCATGGCGAATAAATCCATGAGTATGAACACTGACTGTGACTAAAACTTAGATCAGAAAAAGAAATCACATTACAGTTATACGTGTTCCTTCTTTGGTTAATCATTTGGTATGTGCTTTAAGTCTTCCCGTTTTGTTTTAGATTGCGAGGAAAGACGGAAGAACATTTATATCATTAACACTGTTTCGTTTCAGTGAGAAAAAGAACGTATGCATAAGAAACAAAGAAATGAAAGTCAGAAAGAAAGAAAAGTGATGAATAAAGAAAAAAAAGAAAGAAAGAAAGAAGGAAAGAGAAACGAAAAGAAAAATGATAATGAAAGACAAAAGAAAGAAAGAAATCAGGAAAGACGGAAATGACAGAGAAAGAAAAAAGAAAGAAAGAAGGAAAGAGGGAAAGAATGAAAAATGATAAACAAAAAAGACGAAAGAAGGAAAGAAAGGACGAAAGAAGAAAATACTAAAATAGAAAAAAATGATAAAAAAAAGAAAGAATGAAGGAAAGACGGGAGAAAGAGAAATGATAAAGAAAGAAAATAAGAGAGAAAGAAAGCCGGAAAGAAAGAAAAATGATAAAGAAAGAAAAAAGAAAGGAGTAAGAAAAGACGGAAATAAAGAAAAAGGATAATTAAACAGAGAGAAAAAAGAAAGAAAAAATGAATGATGAAAAGAAAGCAAAATGATAAGGAAAGAAAAAAGTAAGAAAAACGAAAGAAAGAAAAAAGACGGAGAGACGGAAAGAAAGAAAATGATAAAGAAAGAAAAAAAGAAAGAAGGAAAGAAAGAAGGAAAAATGAAAAGAAAATAATTATAAAGAAAGAAAAAGTAAAGACGTAAAGAAAGAAAAATGTCAAAGAAAAAAAGAAGAAAAAAGAAGGAGAGAAAGAAAGTAGGAAAGACAAAAAGAAAGAAAAATGATAAAGATTAAAGAAAGAAGGAAAATAAATAAATATGATAAAGAAAAAGAAAGAAGGACGTTGGAAAGAAAGAAAAATGATAAAGAAACAAAAAAATAATATAAAAGAAAGAATGAAAGAAAGAAAGAAGGAAAACGGAAAGAAGGGACAAAGAAAGAAAAAGAAAAAAAACATAAATAAAAAAAGAAAGAAAGAAAATATATAGAAATAATTGAAGGGTTGACAGAAAGTTGATAACTTTTTCTTGCGTCTGCTTTCGTGAAACGGATGCCCTTATCAGTTTGGAATATTTTCATTTGTATCCCCTTACTTCTTTTGATAATAAACAATCCTGGCGAGACATGCTATATAAAAAAAAAGATGATACACAAAAACAACCTCTTATTGATAAGTAAATATATATATATATATATATATATATATATATATATATATATATATATATATATATATGTGTGTGTGTGTGTGTGTGTGTGTGTGTGTGTGTGTGTGTGTGTGTGTGAAAAAATATATAGAAAATAGGAAAGAACTGGTTAGGTAAATAATCAAAATAAATCTCCATAGACACGTAAACCAGACTAGGCTAAAACATCTTCCGTTTCAAATTTAGACACCCCCACCTTACCCTGACTTGACATCTATGAAAGTAACTCTATACTGATACTTATTAACACCCAACACACGCCTACCCAATTTAGACAATTCGCCCGAGCTGTTTTGATTTCAATTATTAAAACACGTAAATTTCAGAACGTTATTCCAAAAAAAAAAAAAAAAATTCGCTTGGAGATGGAACAGAGCTTACTTTAACTCAATTTAATTCAAATAATTATATTGAAGTTTTCGGCTCATGTTTTGAAACATGAGACCTCTTATGTCACGAGTTGGAATCATATTTTTAAATAAATAATTATATATATATATATATATATATATATATATATATATATATATATATATATATATTTGTTTTTGGAAATGTTATTTTTAGAAAATATAACAAACATTTTTCCTCATTAAGCATGAACTATTAGGCTGGTCCAGATATAAGACACATGGTAGCGGGAAAAAAAGATGAAACCAGCATTTATTTCACATTACATTATCGTCTATTATTTTCTCTCTCTCTCTCTCTCACTCTCTCTCTCTCTCTCCCAAAAGAGATTTATCAATTGTACTCCGTATATTCGTCCACTTTATTAATGCAGTCTTTGTTTTTAACGAAAACGCATGATTTGATTTGATTGAAATCGGAAGATGAACGTGTGTTATATACCGTATATATGAACACTAATGGATATGTCCCATGCCAATCTTCATAAATACGTTGGACATTATTGCAAGTCGGGGTAATATGCTAAGTAGTCCACCGCTAGCAGGGGTTTACCTAGTTCGCGCCGTTGACGAATATTGTATTTTTGTTGATATTATAAAGATTACTATTTCATTTCCAAACTCCTTTTTGGTTATTCCTCATACAGCAACTTTTTCTAGATTACAACATGTAAAATATTTCCTGTTTAACATTTTTGTCCAAGATCTCAGTTTCTATTTCTCGTTCTTTGTATGCTTTAAAAATGTTCATTGGAATTATATTCGTGGATAGATTTCAATAAATTAGGTTTTGAAGGCCGGGATTACATTTTATATTTTTTTTAATTTTTTTGAAATTTACGAAATATTTTTAAATGATAATGTATATTTATTTGGACTAAGTATATGGCTGAAATGAAGCTTAATATTTCTACAATAAAATAATATTTTTAAAATGTAAATTTAGTAAAAATACCTTTTCAAATCTTGTATAAAATTCCCTTGGTTAATTTCTTTATAGGCATCCAATAATGATTGGAAATTACAAAGCAAAGTGTAGAAAGATCTGGATAAAAAAAAACCACTTAGGAATGAACAGAATTACATTTTAGCTTCAAACAGACCGGATGCCTCGAATAAAAGGCATGACGGGAATGCTTAAACTAACTGTTTGGAGAAGATTTCTTGTATATTTATAAAAGTGCTTATATTTACAGCCATACCACGTTGAAACACTGTTTCTCGTCCAGATCACTGAAGATAAGCAGCAACGTGCCTGGTCAGTACATAGAAGAGTGACCACTTGTGAATACCAGCTCGGCTTGACGGTCGAACTCTCTGCCTCTGAGCGGACGAGGCCCGCCGAAGGGCAGAGTCTTGTTCGGGGAGGTTGACCAACTTGATCCCGTTTATACGGGTTCTACGTGCATTTTTTTTTTTTTGCCGAGCCTACGGGATCGGGAAACCCACGTTAAACTCGGCCTTGTGCCATATGGAACCCCTCGTGGTGGGGGGGTGGCTAGATACCAGATGTTGTAAGCCTGGAAGTGCAAGTGGTGTATTTGATAATGGCTGTTAATTACCGAGTTCTAGTTCCAGTCGGTTTTGCTATATTCACTAACACGCAAATACTTTTAGGATCAGAAAATAATTATTGTCTCCAACCCCTAATTTTTACATTAAAAAAAAAAAATGCTGGCTTTAAATATCATGCAAAAGTTTGATAAGTTGTAGAGAACAAATTAATCAATCAATAAAGACGTAGATGAAATTAAAATGGCCACAGTGAATTTTTTCTGAAATAGAATAAGCGTTTCGGCCTGTTGCTATAAGATATATGAATTTTCAGTTAACTTCCATACTCCTATTACATGCTTTTTGAAAATATATCAAAGATATTCGGCGCCTACTGTTCCACATAGTTTAAAGTTATCATAAAATAATTTAATATGTTCACACCACTAGATGTACCTTCTAAAAAATAATCCTTCTGATTTGGGAGGAAATACTACCTTGACAATAAATATTAGACAAGCGACGTGTGTGATTTTGGGCTTTTCTATTTTTGGCGATATCAACGATTAGTGAAATAGGTACACAGATCAGTTAGGTATGAATCGACTCATCACTTTATTGCCACTTTCGTTAATTGAAGTTCGATGTACGAGAAGGAAATGATTTTCATTTTTTTTAATTTGGTCCCCGCCTCATTGATTTTTTGTTTACTGATCGACAATGGGTATCTAATGAGGCTGCTACAGCCATGTTCAGAGTAACTGTCAGGTTCGTGTCAACGTTAGCGTCGCAAAAACAATACGTCAACTAAGAACTTATTAACAGAGTACAGATCTGCACACAAAGAACCCGAACACGAAACGTCATTAACAGTATTATCATATTTTTTCATACATGATAGATTTTATAAGGATATAAACTTGTGTGTATTTTTATACATTGATTTAAAATAAATATTCCTAATTTGGCAAACCAGTTAAGTAAATATATTGGATTACAAATACTTTATACGTAAAAAAAATGATGCGGTGAATCATCATTAAAATTAAACTGAAGATCATTAGAAAGATATAGGAAGCAATAGCTAAACGGCATATATATATATATATATATATATATATATATATATATATATATATATATATATATATATAGTTAGCTAATGAAAAGTTTGGTAATCCGTATGGATAATCTCAAGGAGGATGCAATCCAGATAGCTCAATATCAAACAGACCAAATATTTTTATATATTTTTCAAATATTTTTTTTCAATATGTTTTTCGATATTACTTTATAATTTTTTCGATACCATTTAAATTTTTTTAGGTTATGTCATATTTTAACTTTAAATTATGAATTTAAGATTTAAAATTTAACATTTGAAGTTTTAGATTTTAATTATAATTCTTTTTTACGCCTTAGTTATTATAAATAATATTAATAATTTTGTTTGTCTTATATTCGCACTGTATTTTTTCCTATTTTATTTTGTTGATAATTTTTAAATTTTTAAATTAATGTCAAACGTTACCTTCAAAAACCGAAACATGCCAATATATGTTAATTTATTCTTCCTTTTCATCATTCCACACTCTTTTCTTGACAACCCTACACCCACATTTGCTTCCTTATATCTGTTCTCATTTTTTTTCTGTGTCTAGTCTCGCGTTAGATGACTTCTTATGTCACTGTCTAGTACTTAACTCATTCCCTTACTCTCAAGTATTTTAATAAAAAATAGATTTAAATTATTTGTATCTGTTCCTCCTTCTCTAATTTCGAGCATATTTGTCGTCCTCCTCCTCTATCACCTTACATCAACTTAATCAATGGACCCTTAAGGTAGTCTGTTTTCTAGTTATATATATATATATATATATTGGGTCCATGAAGAATGATTTTAAAGATAGATGGAGGCAGCATAATTGCTCTTTCAATAATATAAATAAAAGAAATCAGACTTCCCTATCTAAATATTTTTGGCATCTGAAGAAAACAAATAGGACACCTAAAGTAAAATGGAAAATTATAAACAGGGCTAGAACTTGTAAAACTTGGGATGACCCATGCCCTTTGTGCCTCCATGAGAAATTGCATATTATTAAGCTTTTAAATAATAATAATCTATTAAACAATAGACATGAGTTAACGTTTTTTTGTCGACATCATCAGATTCATGGTTTGAATAATTAGCTAAAAACAAGCATACAATATAATAACTTGATTAATCCATAGCCCAGTCATCAGATTCATGGTTTGAATAATTAGCTAAGAACAAGCATACATTATAATAACTTTCATAATCCATAGCCCAAATAAATAGTTAAAATACCCTACAAAAAAGATAACCCTTTATGAAGTCGTCAAAAAACAAACGTTACGGCAGTTTTTTATATGCACAAATCCCTTTCATAAAAAAATAAAATAAAAAAAAAAAAAAAATCTCCATAGACACGCATACCAGACTAGGGTTAATACATCTTCCGTTTCAAATTTAGACACCGCCACCTTTCCCTGACTTGACATCTATGAAAGCAACTCTATACTGATACTTATTATTAACACCCAACACACGCCTATCCAATTTAAACAATTCGCCCTAGCTGTTATAATGGAAATTTTGATTTCAATTATTAAAACACGTAAATTTCAGAAATACGTTACGTTATTCCAAAAAAAAAATTCGCTTGAAGATGGAACAGAGCTTACTTTAACACAATTTAATTCAAATAATTATATTGAAGTTTTCAGCTCTTGTTTTGAAACATGAGACCTCTTATGTCGCGAATTGTAATCATATTTTTAAATAAATAATTATATATATATATATATATATATATATATATATATATATATATATATGTATATGCGTGTGTGTGCGTGTGTGTGCATGAGCAAACAAGTTTTATTTAATTCCAACAACAATTTCTGTTTATGTCACTGCTTATTTTATCTTTTCTATTTCCGAATGAGGTTATGCATGTATGAATTTAATGTTTTAATAAACTGTTCAAAGTTCATTTCTGTTCTTGTTATATTAAAGTGTTTTCGATTATCACATGTAGGGTAAGCAGTTTTTTTTTAATATATACTGGCGTTTTTATATTGCAGGAATTGAAATCAATTCAGACTGATCACATATATAACGGGTCAACGGAAAACGATGTATCAAATATCTATACATCTATATGTCATAATAACTTCTGGAATTTTGTGCCTTTTTTAGTCACTAAATATTTTAGTGTTTTTTATCCAAATGGTTCTTAAATTAATATTAGTTTGATTCTTTGTGATTTGCTGATGAATATGCGCATGAATTACACAAAGCATTAACAAATGACATGGCAAGGTTCTAGAGATTGTGATATACATGTAGCCAATGTCAGAAGTTAATATGCTTTTTTTATTATTTGTATCGTAGATACATTACCGAAAATGACACGAGAATTCATAAGCAACATTATTTTAAAGAGATTGGTTATATGTATACATACATTCATATTAAAAAAATTACAGGTTGATTATATTTAAAACAATAATAATAAAAAAATTAAACTAAGTTACCTCCCTTAAACATTCATAACGTAAATTGATTGTATGTACCTCGTTTTATGCGCATTTACAAAATATATCACAACTATCAATTATATTAATTTTTGCCTTAGCCATTCAACCCTGAAGATTATCTGGAATGAGATTAAAAGGTACCAGGGAAAATAAAATCAACCAAAACTACGGCACCTTTTTTAGTCATATTCAACAGCAAAAAATTAAGAGATAATATCTAGATTATTCAACAAATCATATTTGAAGGAAGATATGCAAACTATACATATAGTTTGTATTTTGTAGTGGAAGACATTCATATATATATATATATATATATATATATATATATATATATATATTTGTGTGTGTATACGTGTATATATATATATATATATATATATATATATATATATATATAAATGTTAAATAAACTGAAAGAACGGACACAATAATAATCCACATTTCTTTAGCATTTATTTTTTAAAAAGTGCCCCATACAAAGTAGAGCATAATAATATAATACTATTATTTAAATAAAAAAAAATCTTCACGAGACAGATATTACTATGTTTCGGAACTAAAGATTAAAATAAACATTAACATTTTTGTTTCAGTCTCAAGAGATGTTGAATATATATATATATATATATATATATATATATATATATTTTTAAGTTGTGTCATATTTATGGGATAAGTGCTCAATATCAGAGGTAGAGCGTATGTAAATATAAATATAAAAGTGAACATTGAAGTCAACACTCAGAGGCGACAGGCTGTTTCATGCTCGACGCAATCGTCAGGCCGCTCTCTACTGGACATTTCTCTTTAGATCTACAACTTGACGAGTGTCGCCTCAGAGTGTTGACTTCAATGTTCACTCATATATATATATATATATATATATATATATATATATATATTAGAAGCATCTAGTAGAATAGTAGATCCCAAACAGATAGGACTATACGGAGATGATGGACTCATTTTTATCCCCATTAGTAATGGTCAACTAACATCGAAGATCCAAAAATATATAATTAGGGCCTTCAAATTACTAGTGTTTAGAATTGAGATTTTCTCTAACCTTAAAATAGTTGATTATCTAGATATCACCCTTAATCTCAATAATAAAAAGTTTAAACCGTATCATAAAAGCAATGAAACCTCCACATGTAAATTAAAATTCTAACCACCCTAAATCCATTATGTAGCAGAACCTTACCACCGTAAACACTAGCAGTAATCCATT